TCCAAAGAATGCTCCACTTAGAACTTTGAAGAAATAATATTTGATGACTGGGAAAATTCCAAAGATGACTCCTACTTCAGTGACCTAATTTACTGACCTCATAAACATCCCTTCATTTACAGGTTTTGAAGAAAACATATCACCATAACATCAGGTAAATCTGTCATTATATAATGATAGCTGGAGCCATGATCGTTCAATGAAGAGGACAGTTTGGTTGCTTTTCCTCTAAAAAGTAGACGTCTTGGGGCCAGAAAGATAGCACAGTGGTGACAGCACACTTGCCTTGCATGTGGCTGACCCAGATTCAATCCCCAGTGCCATCCATGGTTCCCTGAGCTCTACTGGGAATGATGCCTGCGAAGTCAGGAGTAGTCCCTGAGCACCATCAAGTGTGACCCCCAAATACAAATCAAATAAACAAATACAATTAATTTTTAAAATGTACGACTATAGAGGCCCGATGATGCTTTTAACAATTGGCCATACTTGTTTGCTACTCTTTAATGAAAAAAAAAAAGTGGTATCTTGATACTAAACTAAACATACAGGGAAAAGGAGCAATGAGAGAGAGGAAATTTCTGGGAGGAAATGAAGGATGACCAAATAAATCTTGTATGGTATTGGTTAAAATTAGGAAAGACACAGAGAAAAGAAGATAAGCACACAAATATACTGTGTCCACAGTGAGAAATTAGTAAGAAATTATAAATACATGCTTTCCTGTTATGTTAACAAGGGACATGCATTGTTCCTACAAAGTAATAGGGTGAAATAAGGGATAATCCAACAAAAAATCAGTTTGAGCATGTCTAGAAAATTCTTTCAAATCCTAACATTTAAATAACACTGTCATACACTGTCCTCCCGTTGTTCATTGATTTGCTCGAGCGGGCCCAGTAACCTCTCCATTTTTTTTGAGACTTGTTGTTACTGTGTTTGGCATATTGAATATGACAGGGGTAGCTTGCCAGGCTCTGCCGTGCGGGCAAGATACTCTTGGTAGCTTGCCGGGCTTGAGGGGCGGAGGAATCGAACCCAGTTCAGCCAGGCTGGCTGCACGCAAGGCAAACGCACTTCCGCTGTGCTATCGCTCCAGCCCAACATTTAAATAACAGAGAACTTAAAAGCCTCTCCTATATGCAAAACCTAATTTTAAAAAAGAAGAAAACACTATATGATAGAAAAAGTTATGGTTATAAACAGGTATACTTCAATTCTCACTCAAAATCTAAATTTTACCATATTCAAACTTTAATTATATTTATATCTTGCTGAATTTGGACTAATTACATTTTAGAGAGAATTTTATTAACATTTTTATTTAATAAATACTTATTTCTTTTTACTTCTTTATTTGCCAAATAAATTAGAAAAGAGACCACAATTCCATTAGCAATATAAAAACAGTACCTGCTTATGAGACACTATTAAAAACAGTTTAATACTTATATTATTTACATTATGTAAGTATTAAAGTGCATTTAATAATAGAGTTTTGTAAATAAACTATATTTATTAACTGGAAAAACACAAAGGTGAAAGCTTCATTATACAAAACAGAATAGTCTAGCATAAAAAGAAGTAGTAATTGAAGGAAATTTGGTCACCTAAACACCCAGTTCTTGGATAGGTGAATGGAGCACGAGAGTGGGAAACCATACTTTACAAAACTAGACACATTGAAGTTTCCATTTCAGGTGTGTATTAATATGTGACCCAGACATTTTACCCTTCTGAATGTTGGTATTCTATCCATGAAAAGACAATCTCAATGGAGACTTCATTATGACCTACATTGCAAAACATTTTTAAACCAAAAACAAATGCTCTAATCACAATAAAAGATATAGATTTGATACATTGAAATCAAAAACATCCATCTTCTTACAAAAAGAAACTATGAAATAAAGCATCAAAAAAACATTCAGGGACTGGAGTCATAGTATAGTGGGTAGAGCACTTGCCTTGCATGCAGCCAACCCAGGTTCAATTCTCAGCATCCTATTTGGTTCCTGAAACTGCCAGGAGTAATTCCTGAGTGCAGAGCCAGAAGTAAACTCTGGGGATTGCCATGTGTGACCCTCAAACCAACAATAACTAATTAATTAATTATAATTAAATCATGGAGTGGAAAATTATATCTGCCCCACTTTTAACTAGCAAAGGATTAACAGAGAATAATAAAATCCATAAAAACACTGTAAAAACACAGAGATCCAAAAAGATTTAGTTACATACACTTAACAGAACAGAAATGGCCTGTATAAATGAAAATATGCTTGACCACATTAGTAATCAGTGAAATGCGGACTAAATAATAACAGTTCTCAGGATTTGAGGCGTTCGATGGTTATAGACACTGAATTCACCTATACACGTTCTGGCATATAGTTGGTATAAAAATTGCAAATAGGATACCCATGACATTCTTCAAAGAAATGGAGCAAACACTCCTGAAATTTATATGGAACAATAAGCCCCCACGAATAGCTAAAGCAATTCTTGGGAAAAAGAAAATGGGAGGAATCAACCTCCCGAACTTCAAACTGTACTACAAAGCAGTAATAATTAAAACAGCATGGTACTGGAACAAAGGCAGAACTGCAGACCAGTGGAACAGGGTTGAATACACTGACATCTCCCCTCAATCATATGCTCATCTAATCTTTGATAAAGGTGCAAGTAATGTGAAGTGGAGTAAGGAAAGCCTCTTTAATAAATTGTGTTGGCATCACTGGACGGCTACATGCAAAAAAATAGGCTCAGAACTCTGCCTAACACCATGTACAAAAGTAAGATCAAAATGGATTAAAGACCTCAACATCAGACCAGAAACCATAAGGTACATTGAAGATAAAGTTGGCAAAACCCTCCATGACATTGAAGCTAATGGTATCTTCAAAGATGCCACGTCACTGGCCGAGCAAGTGAAAACAGAGATAGATAAATGGGACTATCTTAAACTAAGAAGCTTCTGCACCTCCAAAGAAACAGTGACCAAAATACAAAGACAGTCTACAGAATGGGAAAGGATATTCACCGAATACACATCTGACAAGGGGTTGATATCCAGGATATACAAAATACTGGTTAAACTCCACAAGAAGAAAACATCCAACCCCATCCAAAAATGGGGCAATGAAATGAACAGAAACTTTCTCAAAGAAGAAATCCGAATGGCAAAAAAGCACATGAGAAAATGCTCTACATCATTAATCATCAGGGAGATGCAGATCAAAACCACAATGAGATACCATCTCACACCTCAGAGACTGGCCCACATTCAAAAGAACAAAAGCAACTGATGCTGGCATGGATGTGGCGAGAAAGGGACACTCCTTCACTGTTGGTGGGAATATCCACTGGTTCAGCCCTTCTGGACAACAGTATGGACGATTCTCAAAAAATTAGAAATTGAGCTCCCATTTGACCCAGCAATACCACTCCTGGGAATATATCCCAGAGAGGCAAAAATGTATAGTCGAAGTGACATCTGCACTTGTTTGTTCATTGCAGCACTCTTTACAATAGCCAGAAACTGGAAGAAACCTGAATGCCCAAGATCAGATGACTGGTTAAAGAAACTTTGGTACATCTACACAATGGAGTACTATGTAGCTGTTAGAAAAGATGAAGTCATGAAATTTACATTCAAGTGGTACAATATGGAAAGTATCATGCTAAGCGAAATGAGTCAGAAAGAGAGGGATAGACATAGAAAGATTGCATTCATCTGGGGGATATAAAGTAACAAAGTATGAGATTAATACCCTAGAATAGCTGAGATCAGCACCAGGAGGATTACTCCATAACTTAGAGGCCAGCCGGGTATCCTAGATGAAAGGGCAGTTCAGATAGAGAAGGGAGCACCAAATAAAGGATGTTTGGAGGATCCTCCCAGGAGGGGAGATGCATGTCGAAAGTAGACTATGGACTGAACATGTTTGCCACTCAATGCCTCTTTTGCAGACCACAACACCCAAAAGGAGAGAGAACACAGGGGATTGCCCTGCCACAGAGACAGGGGGGATGGGGGGATGGGGATGGGAGGGATATTATCCATGGTGGTGGAAAATGGGCACTGGTGGAGGGATGGGTATCTGATCATTGTATAATTGAAACCAAAGCACAAAAAATTGTAAATCTACAACTTTAAAAAAAAATAAAATAAAATAAAGGGAAAAAAATTGCAAATCAACTTCCTCAAAGATCCTGTTTGACATCTTCTTGGAACTATCACTATAAAGTCAACAAGAATCCAAAAAAGAAAGCAACTCTCCAGAGTTTTAAAATACATTCATGGGGGCTGGAGCAATAGCACAGTGGGTAGCGTGTTTGCCTTGCACACGGCCAACCCAGGTTTAATTTCCAGCATCCCATATGGTCCCCTGAGCACCGCCAGGAGTAACTCCTGAGTGCAGAGCCAGGAGTAACCCCTGTGCATTGCATTGCTGGGTGTGACCCAAAAAGCAAAATAAATAAATAAATAAATAAATAAATAAAATACATTCACAATCTGAACACATTCTGGAGGCTTCAAGCACTAAAAATCAAACTTGGTCTTCTCTTTACTGCTTATACACAATTTTGTTCCTACACTTGATATATATTGCTCATCCCCTTTGCTTTCATTTTACATTGTCATGATGCATGCACTTAGGCAATTTCAGATCTTCCTGAGTAATATCAGGGCATATCCAGACTATAAAATAAGTCTTTATAGGCATTGGCTCACCACCCAGAACTCCTTTGCATTCTCTTCAATCTCCTTAATGTGATACATCTGTGGATCCCACACACTCTGAGTTTGTCATATCAGTGAGTAACTGGAAAAAGCTCAAAACCAGCAACCTTAGAATTGCATTTTCTCTTTCACAATTCCCTCAATTTCGTGTATTTTCGAAATGTGTCAATTGAGGGAGCCTCAACCCAGCTGAATGGCATACTGTCCATACATTTTTTTCCAGAACCAACAGACTGAGCTTGGAGGTACGTACCAAAGGGGACGGAGTCTCTGAAGAGTGAGTAGGAGGTGGTGTCTCCCCTGCTGTTTCCGGATCTTCCTGTTCACTCTCACTGTAGCATTCTATAACAAAAGCAAAACTGTTTAATGTTTTGGCGCCATCATCACTTATTCCATAATTCATAAGCATAGGTTATTTTCCATCTTGCATTACAATTTCAATCCAATTCAGTAGCTGCTTATTTATTGGCTAACCTGACGAGGAAATTACATAATAGGGGGAATAAACAGCCCCATAAGTTTCTGTCCTTAACGAATGTCCAGTTCACAGGAAGAGGACTAACCACATCACAAGGAAAATAAAATAATTCCTCAATAAAGCTGTATGTCATATATTAGAGGCAAATGAAATCAATAATAATTAATTTTTTTGAAACAAATAGATTTTATTTGGAGGATTTTTAAGGTGTGGTAGGGGAGAGAAAGAGAGAGTACTCAAGAGAGAACACAGGCCTCTCCACGGATGGAGAGAGAGCCCCTACACACATCCTAGCATTAGACATGAAAGCATGAAAGTACACATCTAAGAGGGGAGATGCGGGTGACACATGTACTCGGGCACCACATATGCTCGGTCATGAGGGCATAAGCACACATGGGCTCAGGCAGCATATGCGCGCCAATAATGATTAATTTTGATCATCTGCACCATAATAAACTGAAATTAGAAGGGTAATAAAGCTATCAGAGTTGAGCACAGAGTAAAGTGGTACTCAGTCCGCAGGGTAGTTTAAACCAAGTATCCAGAGATCTCCACGGGTTAGGATGAAAAATGAAGCCGAAAACTCACTTGAAGTCTATCCAAGAATTTATATAGCAGTATAAGCAGATGTTTTTGCATTGTTTTATTCCCCCTTGTAATCTACAGAAACATCTCAAATATACAATAACATTTATTTTATGGAAATGGGTTTTAAGGTACTAATTAGAACAGTGTAATCTGTCTTTACATGATTTCACAGTATTATATTTTACTTATTTGTTTTTTTAAGTCTAGGTATCACTTTTCTACTTTTAAATGGGAAATTTTTATGTATTATTCAAAGAGTTTACCTTTCTCATTCCCCTTTCTAAAATGTATGGAGTCTGAGAATTTCAAAAATAATGCTGGTTCTGAAACCCTAGGACCTGGGAGCCTCCCTCATCTCATTAATAAAGAGTTGATTGTATAACTAAGAAGAACTAGAATCTTGTATCTTTGAACCCTGGAAGCTACCAACCATATGGTCTGTGTCAAAAAAAGAAAAACGTTCTGTGTCCCAATCTGACCTTATAAGTATAGAGAAACACATCTCAGCACACACCTGATTGAAATATGAAAACATCAAAAAGGAAATAGTGGGATGAAAGTCATCCATCTAAACCATGATGAGGTGGTGTCTATGAGTCAGAAGAGTAAAGGATCCATCCAGAAAGTGGGGCAAGATAACATTTCCATTGCTGGTTGTTTGAGATGTCAGTGAAGCCTACAGCTGCTAACGTGTGGGTGAAGTGTGAAACGCATTCGTAGCCAGGGTGGGAAGCTCGATTCCATGTTGGTGAGACTGTGTGAATGTCTGTCTCCACATATTTTCAGATAATTTTAAATGTCAAAGTATGTTTCTTTGGGACTATACATAGAATTTGACATTGTTTGCTAATTCCATTTCATCTTACACTAATATTCTTGCTAAGGTTCCAGAGTTTTTAAAACGGAGCATACCTTCATCCTTTGGAGTGGATTCCCGGTGGATTACCGCTAATCCGAGTTTGTTTAACCACCTAAAATTCAGATAGAAAATAAATGTTTGATCAAAGAGATTTAACAATCCCCTAGCTATTTACTTTGCCCCAGGCCTTTAAATAAGATGTGTTTCAGACTTTGTACTAAAGTTAAATCATAATTCTACAGTCAATCGGAACGTTTCCAAAAACAGCATAAATCCAGATGGAGAAATAGCACAGTGAATAGAACATGTGCCTTGTACGCAGCTGACCTGGGTTCCAACCCAGGACCTCACATAGTCCCGTGAACCCCAGCAGTAGTCACCCCGAGTGCAGAGCAAAAAGTAAATCCTGAGTATTGTGGGGTGAGGTGCCAAAACAAAGAAAAACTTTTAGAAAAACAGTAATCATCAAACTGCAAGCTGTCCAATCATGCCAGGGAAATCCATCTCTGGGCTGAAAACTCTGTGGCATTCTCAGAAAGCAGGTGGGCAGATTTCTCTCCCTTCCATATAAACCCAGGAGTCCCCACCCAACAACATATAAATGGCCCAGGTCCTCCCCCGACATGAAAACGACACAGTTCCACAACACATGGAATGTACAACACCTCCAAATTTCACAGTGGTGATGGGCCAGTAGGACCACATCCAATTTTCTGGGAAAGTGGTGTAGAAGCCCACCAAGCTCAATGAAAGTAGTGTAGAAGCCTACTGAGCTCAATGTGTGAAAACAATAACACAGAAGACTTAACCAGCACCAAAAAGCTCAGTACATTTTCAATGAATTTAGTAACACTGCTGTGACATATAACAATGATCACAGTTTGACTATTAATGATTCATTTTCTTATAAGACTAAGATCCTATATTTCAGTCCTGAGAGTGACGGCAGCAAACAATTTGCCTTGCATGTAGCCAACCTACATTCAATTCCCCTATGGTCTCCATAGCACTGGAAGAAGTGATCCTTCAACAGAAGCAGGAATGTAGATCCTCTGCTTATAACCTCCCCTCCCCCGGTCTCCTGACAACTCAGCAGTCACCCACAAGCCACCTCTGGCTGGTGCTGAATAATCCCATCATCTGCCACTATCTAGATCTCATGTCCTTCTCCCCCAGAAGGGAGCATAATATGATACTCGCCACCTGATCCTGCACCAGGCTGTTTCACTCAGGGCCTCCTGGAGGGGGACAGGTGAGAGCCCTCCTGCCCCAAGGGACCCAGCCCTGGCAGCCAAAAACCTCCAGAACCCAGTTGCCACAACGTTCACGGCTGCTCCCCACAAGCTGGGGCAGAACCTCACTCACGAGTCAACCTATCCGCTCAACACTTCATACCACACACCCTGCCCATACTCCAAGAGTACCACACTACATTTGATGGGGTTCAAAGTAGGAGGCAATCAATCCTAGAGGGAAATATATATATATAAATGTGCATATATATATATATATATATATATATATATATATATCACGATCACGATCATCCTGTTGTTCGTCAATTTCCTCGAGCAGGCACCAGTAACATCTCCTTCTTCTTAGCCCTGAGATTTTAAAAGAGCCATTTCAATGCTCTTTCAGGATTAGGAGAATGAAACCCATCATTGTTACTGAGTATATTGAATATATATATACTGGCATATTGAGTACGACACGGGAAGTTTGTCAGACTCTGCCGTGAGGACAGGATACTTTTGGTAGTCTGCCAGGTTCTCCAAAGGAAAAATAAGATAATAAGATGTCGCTTCCGGGAGCTGGGTTTTTCTGCATCTTGGCCGTTGATGGGACCAACCTGGTGCTGGTGGCAGCTGGTGGGTGTGACGCCTATCTACTGGAAGATGGGGGGTCTGGGTGGAGAAGGCCCAGTCCCAATCCAAGCAGGCTTGGAGACCTCAGCCTCAGGACCCGCATGCCTGGGTTCCTCTACCAGTTCTTTCATGCATGAGGCCCATCTGGATATGTGGAGAATGGTCCCAGCATGGCCGTGGCTGGCTCCAGAGGTCCTCAGCTGCTGGGTCTCTGCTCAGGGCGGGGGTGGGGGGAGAGAAACTCAACTCTCCTCCCTCCAAGGGGCCATGATGAGGACAGCCAGGCACGGGGGCTGGAGACTCTTATATAATATATATAATTAAAAGCACACAAGGCTCAACCTTTAACAACATGTTAGTGATCTCTTATAGAAGGGCTTAGTGGCCACTGAATGAACTAAAACATCCTTCACACTCTTTCCTCTAAGGATACTTTTTTGTAGCATTTTCAAAAGGTTTTCATAACAAACAATACAAAATATATTATTTCAGTTCTGCTTTGGGGCAGGGATTGGGGTTTGGGATGGAAATATCCGAAATATGGTGGTGGGAAGGTGTAATGGTGGTGGGATTGGTGTTTGAATATTAAATGTAATCATATATTGTGAAATACTTTATAAAATAAAAAATTAAAAATAGAAGTGACCCCTGAGCACAGTCAGGAGTAATCCCTGAGCACAAGTGTGACCCCCAAATAAACAAAAAATATTCTCTTTGAGACAGTCATAATAAAAATTACTTACTTCCCACCTCTTTCTAATTTTCTGTAATTTTAAAGAGCTCTATATTATCCAATTTAAGTCTTTTTAAGTAAAGTAAAGGCCCGGAGCGATAGCACAGCGGTAGGGCATTTGCCTTGCATGCAGCCAACATGGCCGACCCGAGTTCGATTCCTCCACCCCTCTCGGAGAGCCTGGCAAGCTACCGAGAGTATTCGATATGCCAGACACAGTAACAACAAAGTCTCCAATGGAGACGTTACTGGACCCGCTCGAGCAAGTCTTTTTAAGAAACTAGAGTATTCAATCATGGCCTAAGTCAACCAAAATTCATAAAAGTAATAATAGTTTCATAATCTTAAACTTCATCTGCAATTTTCATTTATTCTGACCTTATGATGCTTCATGTAGTAATCAGCATGATACATTCCCACATGGCATAAATATCTCACGTTCCCAAGTATATTCATCAACTTTTATGCATGAAATGTATAACAAATTAAGTGCTAAGCAAAATAATTTTAATAATAAGGAAGGTGAGCTCAGCCTACTTTAAGAAGTTCCAATTAGCACTATGATAAATAAGAACTCTCTAATGATCCCTTAAAACTGAATTACACCAGGACCCAGATCATGCCATAGAAATTGAAAAATGTTCTTTAAGAATAATAAAGAAAACAAAGAAAACAGAAAATGATGAAAGTGTATAGTGGTTAATAAACACCTGGGGAAAAATTCTCAGTCTTAATATCTTAGTGCATAATCAGATGTGGGGAATATTTTTCACTACTAAATTAGTTTTTTAAAAAATGTAGTGATTATCAGTGATATCTAGAATTTAAAAGGAAACATTCTCTTCCTCTGTTAGGTTTATCTTGAAAATACATACAACCAATTTTAAGTAGGTAGTTTGATGATACTGATTTTGAATATCCATCCCCTTCACCCAACATCTGTAATTATAAATAACAACTCTGCAAAAATGCACCTTTAAATAAACAATTGTAGAAGAATGTTAATTCAATAGGCACATACTCCCAAAAAGCTAAAAACAAGCAATGCAATATAATTAAATCAATGAATAGTGAAAAGAGAAGATACTTTTTAAACATACTAAATAAATTAGTTTTGTATTAATTTCATAATTTGGTTTTGTAATGGTGCTAATCTGTAGCACTGTCCTCCCGTTGTTCATCAATTTGCTTGAGTGGGCCCAGTAACATCTCCATTGTGAGACTTGTTACTGTGTTTGGCATATCGAATACATCACGGGTAGCTTGCCAGGCTTTGCCATGCGGGCTAGATACTCTTGGTAGCTTGCCAGGCTCTCCAAGAGGGGGGAGGAATCAAACCCGGGTCAGCTAGGCCGGCTGCATGCAAGGCAAACGCCCTGCTGCTGTGCTGGGGGGGAGGGGCAAGCCCTTAAGATCACTAGAAAATAGGAACTGGAGTGATAGTACAACAGGTAGGGCATTTGCCTTGCACATGGCTAGTCCAGGTTCAATCCCCGACATCCCATATGGTCCCAGAAGCACCGTCAGGTGTAATTCCTGAGTGCAGAGCCAGGAGTAACCTCTGAGCATCACTGGGTGTGACCCCCCAAAAAATGACTAGAAAATAACCTTACATACTATTGAGTGTAAGAAGCAATTATGAACAATATGTTTAGTCTATTTAATAAAAAAAACACACGTAATTTTGAACACACATGAGTTGATAAATGGGAATAGAGTGAAAAGGATCTCCAGAGGTCTGTCAAAATTGATTAAACCCTGTAGGAAGAGAAGTTGAACTGGAAGGTGAAGTTGGGTTATAAGACAGTTTTCATTTTATATACTTGCATATTATGTAGCTTTCATAAGAATATGTTCCCTGTAGCATTTAACTTTTAAAAAACATTTGCAAGTACATTCTCAAAAAATTGGTCAAAGAACAATAAATTTAAGGGTTCACCTTTAAATTACTGTAAGAGGGGATGGAGAGATAGCATAACAGATAGGGTGTTTGCATTGCACATGGCAGAACAGGTTTGATCCCCAGCATCCTACGTGGTCCCCCAAGCAGCACCAGAAGTTATTTCTGAGTGCAAATACAGTAGTATTCCCTAAGCTTCACTAGGTGTGACCCAAAAAAAACAAATAAAAATTGTTATCGTAATAATATTTAGTTTGGATAAACTGCCCCCCCAAAATAAATAAAAGTAAAATGGAGGGGCTAGAGATAGCACAGCGGGTAGGGCGTTTGCCTTGCACGCAGCCAACCCGGGTTAGATTCCCAGCATCCCATATGGTCCCCTGAGCACCGCCAGGAGTAACTCCTGAGTGCAGAGCCAGGAGTAACCCCTGTGCATCACTGGGTGTGACCTAAAAAGCAAAAATTTAAAAAATTAAAATTTTTAAAAAAAAATAAATTGAATAATATCTTTTTCCAATCTAAACAAAACTGTTTTGAATTGAGAATGCTCAAGAGAAGAAAACATATTTCTAAGCTTTTTTCCAGAACAGGGAAGATAAAAAAGCAGCATA